TGCACGGCAGGAAAAAAAAAAAAAAAAAAAAAAAAAAAAAAAAAGGTCCAGGGCAGCAGCAGCATGCGGCCGTCCCCTCGCCGCTGGTCCTGCCACCGGGCCAGCCCCAGGAGGGCAAATAGTGCGGTCATAAGGCCGCCCAGAACAATAAAGACGAGACCGCTACCAGACAAGGGCTGGGGGCTGTAGTTGGGCAAACCCGCTGGTGAGGGGGCGGGGGACGGTGGAACCACGGCGGCATCTGCAGGCAGGGATGTCGAGGCAGGAGGAGAAAACACAACAAAGTGCATGCTGTTAGTTGCCGTTCCAGAGGCGCCTAATGCTCTTCAAATCCACCTCCGCTCACGCGCAGGAGGTGGCACACGAGCGAGGCGCCGCCGGCGCCTGCGCCGCCGTGGGCGGCGACCAAGCCCCAAATTCCCCTGGATGGCAGCGATCAGTGATGCCTTTCGGCCTCCACCCACCTGCTGCGGCTTGCAACAGCGCTCGGTGCAGCGGTCCCATGGTGGTAGGCCTCTGCTGAACTTGGCTGCAGGTCCTCTCTGCTTTGCGCTCGAAGGACCCAGAACGTGTTTGATCAGCTTTAAAGGCCCTCAGCAGCTGGCGTTCGCCGACGACAGCAAGGTGCTGCACCTTAACTCCAAGTGCACGCTCACGTGAGCGTCCTGGCCCACCCGGAGCTGGCTGTCGATGCGCCGGGGGGCTCGAATTGACTTCCAAGAGTCTCCCAGATTCTAAGTACTGCAGTTTTGCAACTCTGTCGCAGCACCCCTCCACATCACCGGCGTGCCCCTTGTTCGATCATCCTTTTTGGGCTGCAAAAAATGATGCGCGCATGCTTGCTTGCAGGAGCGCTGGACGGGCGGCACTGAGTTGCGGCACAGCCGGAACCGGCGCCACCGCGCCTCCCGCCGAGGCGGCGCCTCACCGCCACGGCCATTGCCCCATGTATGCTTGCTGGTATTGGTAGGCCGATCAGCTGACGGGCGCACGAGCCTCGCTGGTCGCCGTCAACTCTATTGCGCCTGCTGCTCTTTTGCCTGCTGCTGCTGCTGCCCGGCCCATCTTGTCACCAGCCTCCTCCACCCGCAGACCACACTGCAGCTGCTGATCCGGCATGATGACCACCACAGGGATCACCCGCTGCGGCACTGCAGGTTCCAACTCTGCCTTGGTCTGGTCGGTGACGGCCACCTCTTGCTGCGCCTCGCGCACCGCTGCACGCGCAAAACGTCAGGGGGGACCTGGGTCAGAGTCACAGCGCCTGGGACGGTGCACATGTTCCACAGGCTTCGCCGCAGGTGCGGGCCGGCGGCAGGAGGATGTGGGAAGGGCGGCCAGTGAGTGCAAACTTGGTGGCAGGGCGGCGGGCGCGGCCGGCAGCACGCACCGTGCTCACCCTGCTCGGCTGCTGTGCGGCGGCTTCGCCGGTAGCTGTACAGACACAACAGTGCCAGAATAACCAGCAGCACGCCCAGGCCGATGAAGATGGGGGCTGTGGGAGAGCGTCTGCCGGGCTTGCCAGGAAACGGCTGGGGCGCTGTGGTCAGGACCGCTCCTCTATCACTGGGCGGCATCCAGCCGCCCCGTCCTGCAGCTGAAGCACACAAGTAACAGGGCAAGGAGGGTGGGAGATGAGGATCAATCCGATCCCGTGGCTTGCACCACAGGACGCGCCATAGGCTGCTGCCATGCTGCCGCCGCCGCCACACATGGGAGCCGCCGCTGCCAGCGCCTCCACCGGCTGCGCCCTCCCGAGCTGTGCAGCACGATCCGGGCTCACCGTCATACTGCAGCATCATCCTGCGTAGCCCTGCCACAGAGCTTACTTCCACCAAGTGGACCATGGCGCAGAGATGGTCAACGCGCTCGCCCCCGAGTTGCAAGGCCTGCTTGAGTTGGATCAGAGCTATAGACTCGCTGCAGATGCTGCAGGCCCGCAAACACGTATTCCGGCAGCCCAAAAAGTGGTGCCGCTTGGAGCTTCAGGTCTGGGCACTGGCTGGGCGGCCTCCCCAATCAATGCCTGCCAATCACAGTCTGATGCGGTGATCCTCTTGACTGAGCCGCCTGAGAAATCACAGCACATTTGGAGGACGCGGCTGTCTGTCAGTCCCCGCCAGTGTCAGCGGCAGACTAGCAGCAGCAGCAGCGGCAGCGCAGAGCAGCTGCAGGAGGTGGTGCGACATGCTATGCAGGTGGATGAGGAATGTTTTATCCGAAACACTCTTTCATCAACCCACTGGCATCTTTGAGGAGACAGCCAAGGCAAATTCCGCAGAGAGGTGGCCCGCAGAGGGTCGTGTATGCAAGGAGCACGAGCGAGTCGGCAGGAGCAAGGTCAGATTGCAAAAGTATCGTCACGAACAAAAAAAGTTGTGAACGAAATTTCACATTGCAGGCAATGGCATCCATGCCTTGCGGACGTCATCTGCGCTCAGCAGCAATCAGGTGGCTGCTGCCATGCTCATGGCCTGCACGCCGGGCGGCGCTGCCGCTTGATCCGTGGCAGGCGCCGCCTCCTGTTCCTCATGCATGCCGCTGTCGGATGGCGGTGTCGCATACACGAACCAGAGTGCCCAGGGCGCCGATGCACACGGGGCCGGCTGATGCTGGCGCAGGCCAGAGAGGAGGCGCAACGGGCGGGAGGCGCCTTTGTCCTTCCCGCTCCCGCCGCCGGCCTCCGTTTCCTTTACCGCGCACTGGAGCTGCAGGCGGCGGGGAGAGAGTCACTCAATCACGCATCTGCCTGCCGGTTTGGGTCAGGCAATTAGGCAGCTGGACCACCGTAATGCTCGACCCCGCGGCACGGCTCTCTCAGCAGGTGGCAGCGGGTAAGGGCCGTGCCTGCTCATCGGGCATCACTACAATGCACGGCGCTTTCCCCGTAGCTTGCAGCTCGGCCGCCAGCTGGTCTGCCGCCGCCACTGCCGCCTGCTCCTGGTCGGGCTCTGGCCTCCCTGTGGCGGCAGGCAGGGTGGAGGGGCCGTCGGCGCAGTTTGTCAACCAGGCCTTCATCGCTGCTCTGCCTGCACATACATGCTGTGCTGCCCTGCGCCTGTTGGCAGCCAGCGAGACAGCTTGTCAGCTCAGCTGCCTGGCTCATCTGGCGCCTATCAGCTCGTTTGGCTGGGCTGGCCCAGCAGGCACTCACCTATACTCTTCCAGTTCCACGGCAGCAGCACCTTCCAGCCCAGCCCGCTCCGCCGGGAGCGAAAGATCTGCAGGGCAACCAGCGACACCACAAGCACCACCACGCCCAGCGCGATTGCCGCCAGGTCGGGGCCGGAGGCGACAGGCTGTCGGCTGCTGGCGGGGGCGGCAGTGGGGGCGCTGCCGCGGGTGGAGGTCCCGGAGGTGGCATTGGCCGCCCCGGCGGTGCCTGCAGATACAGCGGGCGGGGCACAGTGCAGCCAAAAAATGGTGGATGCAGATGATTTGTGCACCATTCGGAGCACCGCGAGTGTAAAACATCTGCAGATCTCCGAGCTGGCTGCACAAACAGGGGTCGAGGGGCGGGCGGCGGCGGCAGCGGCGAGCCGACCCCACCCGCCACTACCCCTTGCATGCCCAACCCTGTACAGCAGCGCCGTAACCGCAGACTGAGGCACAGGACCTACCATGGAGGAGCCTCCTGAGGCCTCTCCCGCCCAAATGAAGCGAATGCATGGGGGTGAGTAGCACGCCTCACGTCTGTTTAGGTAACTACGGGACGTGCGGTGCGTGAGCGCTCTCTGTGGACGCTGTGGGACCTTATGGTGGCTGTTTGCTGCAGATACGGCGTTCCGACACCCCGGGGCGCCCTCGACTCGAGTGTGAGTCCAAAGCGCAGTGCCCCCAGCTTTTTCAAGGTGCCAGTGAGTCGAGCACCGCTCCCGTAACGCTGGATGGCCGTGGGGGGCGATTATTATTCTGGTGCACGTGCTTGGATGCCTGCAGAGGTCGCCACGTCAGCAGCAGACGCCGGCAGATACAGCAACCCGCTGTGCCAGCATTTCAGCCCAGTTCTGGCATGATCACACAGCTGCAATCATAAACAAAGCATGCCCAGGGTGACTTCCGGTTGAACCAGGCCAGGCGTATGTGCACGTCCCGTGGCCCCCCCGTGCCGGCCATCATGCGACACGATGCATGGACGCTGCCCCTGGTGAGGGCAGGTGTTACATCTCACCGAACCCGAGAGGCAGTCACTGCCTGCGGGAGAAGGGCAAAACTAGGTAAACCAAACCAAATGTGCAGGATGGGGATAGGGCAGTCCATTGTGATCGATGGAGTGTGCCCAAGATAAGAGCGCCCAGGAATACAGTGCGTCAGCAGAGGCGGGCGGCTACCCGGAAAACGCAGAAGGCAGGGAAAAAGGCACACAGTGCAACGGGCCGCAGCAATAAATCGCACAGACATGGACTCCCACAAGGTCAAATCCCTAACAATGAAATGAAAGCCGGCACGGTATCGGTGCTGCCGAACGACAGAATAAACCAGAAAAGCAGGTGGGATGGCACAGACAAAAGCAGATAGCAGCTGCTGCAAAATGAAAGACGGGACTGGGCAGCAAGGCACCATCAAACGCACTGGAGCAGGTTTCGGAGGGGCTAGCGCCAGCACACAGGTACAGGCTGGCTGGCTGGCAGGCAACCAAAATAGATAGGCAGAAACAGCTGCTGATGGTAAATGATACAGGCTTTAGCTAAACGACATGGGCAGGTCCGAGGGCACGGCGGCGCGAGCTCAGGCGCCAGCTCACCCTCGAGGCTGCCTCCCTATTGCCGCTCACGGAGAGGCCGCATGATCGCCTGCGCCAGCTTGTCCCAGCGGTGCCTGGTGCTCGGCAGGTGGCTGAGCTGGTGGCGAGAGCGGCGGCGAGTGCAGCTCTGGGGCATGCTCTGGCGCTTGCACAAGTATGGAGAGGAGCGGGGGCCGGCCTGCACCAGGCAGCAAGTTGGGCGCAAGAGGGAGAGCAGGCATGTGTGTGGTGGTGGGGGCAGTCCTGGGGGTAATGGCAGCTACAAAGCCAGCAACGCAACGCAGACAGAAGCAGGCGTGACCGACTTCCCAGCAGACAATGAAGGGGCACCAGCAGCCAGCTCATTGGCAGCAGGTGCGGGCAATGCGATTGAGTTGAGTTGGGTCGCTCACGTCTGTGGCTTGGCACCACTGCCGCATCCTGCTGGGTAGCGGCAGGAGTCCCTGAGGCTGCAGTTGCGGGCCCTGGAGAAGAAGCGTCGGCAGCAAGCGAAGCCCTGCTGCTGGCTGCCTCCAGCGCTGCTGACAGCCGCGCGGTGAAGGGCTTCTCCTCCTCCTCCTCCTCTCCACCCGCTGACGATCCGGAGCCGCTCGCAGAGGAGGCCATGGCGGCTGTGGGGCTGCGGCAGGGCGTGTGCTCCACCTCCCACCCCAACGACATGGATGTGTTGTCTGGCAGCACGATGATGACGGGGATTTTGGGCAGATAGGGTGCATTCCGCTCTGACTCTGCATGCAGGAGGCGGTGGGCAGGACCAGGGTCAGCAGAATGGGGAGGGCAGATAGGGAAGTGCAGCAGCATGTTGTGCCGGCTGCAAACCATGTGTGCCAAGAAGACGCCCGCAGCTCGCACCTAGGCTGCAGCGCGGGCCGCCGCGCTCCACATCTGCTGCGAACACCTGCCCCTGCTCCTCATGATGCAGCCGCTTGGTCCACCACAACGCCAGCACCAGCGCCGCCAGCACCACGCACCCCAGCATTACGCCTGCAAGCCAGGGCGCAGAGCCAAGCAAGGAAATCAGCAAGCGTGAGCCTGGGATGGGGGCAGCCTGGGAATCGCAGCCTGGCCATCAACCAGCAGCCCGCCGGGGAAGCCCGGCAGGGGGGACTTTGCAGCCGGGTGTGCAGGCACATGAAAAACTCAGGAATTCCCATCATCGCACACAGCAGCGCGCACCCAGGGGCACGAACAGCGTGATGCTGCCTCCGGATGGTTGCTGCGCTGCCAAGGGGTCGATCACCGCAGCGGTGGCATTCCACTCGTGCCCAGGGCGGCTGCCGTCGCCAGCCGTGCTAGGGTGCTGTTCGCAGATGCCCAATAGACACATGGATGCTGGCGATTGCCGGGGGGATGCTGCCCCCACCTGCACTGCCTTTGTCCACGTGCCTAGCAAGCGGCGTGTTCAGCGGCAGCGGCGGCGGTGGGACGGCGGCAGAGCTGGGCCGCAGGGCTGGCGCTAGCCTCCTGGTATGGAGTACTGCACGCACAGTATTGTGGGTAAGCACGAGGAGCACTGTGGCCTCAACTGGGGTGCAGGCGCAATTGCGAACTCAACTAGCTGCAATTCAGGCCGCCCGCCTCTCTCAGGCCCCGCGTATCACCTGATGCCAGAACCAGACGATCGATGGGGCTGCTAGCGGGATGAGGCGGGCCCTTCAGGCGGGCAGCAACTGCACGAAGGTGGCCCCAGCGCTGCCGAGGTCTTTTACCGACGCTGCCGGTGCCTGAGCGACGAGGGACAGCAAGATGATCAACATGAGGTTCAGTTTCCCTACCCTAGCCACAGCCAACCATTCCCAATCCTAGTCAGCTTTGTGGAGGTGGAAAGCGGTCTCCTGGCGCCCAATTGGCCGCGTGTTATTGCGTTTCGGCGCCATCAAGCCAGTTTGCAGTCTATAGACTCGTTGTGCAAGGCCTGGCAGGACGATCCGACCATATGTGGCCCTTCTCCCGCAGGGCGGCACCCCCTCAGCACGCCTCTGAGGTCCTCCAGGATCCCATTGCCGACCTTCCATCACTTTCCGAGCAGCAGCAGCAGCAGCAGCAGCAGCAGCAGCAGCAGCAGCAGCAGCAGCAGCAGCAGCAGCAGCAGCAGCAGCAGCAGCAGCAGCAGCAGCAGCAGCAGCAGCAGCAGCAGCAGCAGCACCCAGGCAGCACTGGGGAAGCAAGCAGCCAAGTTGAGCTGTCAGACCCAGCCAAAATGCCGCGGCCCCATCGCTGCAACGCACGGGTGGAGGATTTCGTGCAGGTGATGCTGCTGCCATCGGCCGGGCGGCGGCAGCGGCGAGCGGCGGCGGCCTGCGGCGAGCGGCGGCGGCGGCCTGGCAGCAGCGCCGGCCTGATTTGCCTCACTTATTCTTCTAAACTCACTGCCTCACACATTGCATTTGAGTGCTACCCTGCAGGCCGTCGTCACCTGGGACTACACTGGAAAGATCCAGCCTAGCCTGGCGCCTCAGGCGGCAGTGTTTCAAGTCGGAGCCAGGGTGCGCTGCCGCAAGGGGAGATCGGGGCCAGCGGGTGGGAGACCCCGGAGGAGGAGTCGATCGTTGCGTGCATCGCCGCGCACAGCCCGCACTGTCGCAGCTGTAGCCTGCCGTCTAGCGCGCTGCCTAGCGTGGCTCGGCACAGCGCACGGTGCACCGGCCTGCTGGCAGCAACCTGCTGGCAGCAACCTCGCATTCATTGTCCTGTGCGCATCGGCAGCCCGCACTACGCTGCACTGCTGTTGATGCGCTATGCCGCGCCGCCGCTGCTGCTGCTGCTGCTGCTGCTGCTGCTGATATGATCATGATGATGCACGCTCTATCGTGGCACTTTGCGAAATGGCTTAAAGCCCTGCCCGCCCTACCTCGGCGCCCGTGTATCGCAGGCAGGAGCCCGTAGAGGCATACCTAGTCATCAAGGACCCGGAAGCCTACCTGGATCCACGCCGCATGTATGCGCCACGGCCGGGTATGAGCCGCTGACGGCAGGCGCCGCGGAGGCCTCGCTTGGTGCATGCAGCTTACCAAGTTGCACGCCTGGATCCGCTGGCGATCCCAAAGCCACTAAGTGAACCTACCTGCTCCTGGACCGTCTGCCCTTCCCCTTATGCTGTGCCATTTCCCTCTGTCCTGGTTTCCTGCTCCTTGCCGCTCCTCCCCGCTCAATCATTCTCTGCATCAGCTGCTTTCTCTGCTGCCGCGAAAAGTCCTTGTGGTTTCACAATGCCCTGTGATTTGCATAGCAGCACAACCAAACGGGGCAGCAAAGAACGCAGCCGCCGTGATCCCGTGGGGTGGCTTGGCTGCCAGCTCACAGTCGGAGAGCACAATGTATCTGTCGGACAACAGCAGGGGTGCCGCTCCTCGGTGAACCCTTTTGCCTTGCCGCCCTTGGCTGAGCTGCCTGGGCCTCCCCTGATCCACAGCCGCCTCGATTAAAGCGAGAGAGCGTGTGTCAGGCTGTGGCTCTGGCACAAGTCAATGCTTAGCGTGGCCCAGGCTGACGCCATCCGAGCGGCTTGGGAAGGCAGACGGGCACCTGCAACTGTCAGTCTCCGGCACCCGCTTGCCAAGCGGAGGCGCCAGGAGGCGCTGGCGCCAGGAGGCGCTGGCGAAGGGCGGCGCCAGCCGGCTGGAGCACTATGTGCACAACGTGGTGGGCGCCCTCAACCTGGCGCCCGCCATGTTTGGGCAGCGCGAGACCTACCTGGATGCAGTACGGCGTCGGCAGGACCGCGAGGCGCTGGCGCAGCTGCGCACCGGGTCGCATTGGGGCGCGGAAGAGACCGGCCGCTGGACGCGGCGCCCCCGAGAGCAGCGAGTCTGCCCCCACTGCCACGACGGCATTGAAGATGCCCCCCACATGCTGCTCACCTGCCCCCTTTACGCCCCGCTGCGCCTCAACTTTCCTGACCTGTTTGCTGAGCCCCATCCTCCCCACCGCTTCCTCCGCCAGAAACCGTGCCGCCTCGCCGCCTTTGCTGCCGCCTGTCACCAGCGCTGGCTGACCGCCACCGTTGCGCTGCCTGCAGTCCCGCCCTGAACCCCCACTCTCATGTCCACCCCCTTTGCTCTTACCGCACCACACCTGCTCCACGACATGCAGTACTGCCTGCCCGCTCACACACTAAACGCTCGGTGACCTGTCAGTTGGCCTGTCCTGCCTGTTGTTCTACTGCTTCATCCCTCCTTGCTCGAACAACAAAGTCTGTGCTGCAAGCTTGTTCTTGCTGAAACCAGACTGTAAGCCCACACAAGTCAAGTCAAGTAGCCGCGAGAGGAGGCATCAAAGACGTCGACAATGCCCGACACCACGCCCAGCCCGACTTTGGCGAAGTTGGCCCAGGGCACTGCGTCAGGAATGAGGCTGCCCATGACGTCCAAGGTGTCCTTCAGGATAATGCTCACAGCTGCAAGGGGATGGGGAGCGGCACAGAAGGGATGGCATGGGCCCAACAGGGCTGGAGCACGCCTTGCTGCTGCCCATCCGCGTTTGTGCTGCACAGCTGCTTGTTATGCATGCATGCAGCAGGTGCGCTCCATCTCACCAGAGCAAGTGTCGCTCGTTGGGGCTTTCGGCGCAGGGTGGTCAAGGGCGAGCAACGGGGCAGTGCGGCACGACACAGTTAGGGCTGCAGGTTGTGGGGCGCGGCAATCCCTAAAAGCGTGCCAGGGTTATTCCTGGCAATCACCCTCAGCAACTAGCCAGGAACTGCTGCATGGCAGGTGATGCAGGCTGTGCAGCGCGCCGCGCAGGCGGCGTGTCCCGGTTGGTCTCTGGTCCCGCGCGCAGCGGGCTGTGGGCAATTGGTTGCAGAGGGCAGGATTGTCATGCCCCCCTCGTTAATCTCTTCTAGGATCCCCAGGGGCGTTTCAAGGGTTGCGCACTTGGCGGACGGGAACAGCGCTGCCAGTGGCATGCTACTCGCGGGGCCGCGCCCCGTCCCACTCGAAGCGAGGGTCACAACCCTGATTTGCCAGCTCTCACAACATCGCATGTAGACAATACACTCACCTGTTGCACATGGGTCTTGAGCGCTGCACACGGCGGCCAATGCCAGGAGCAGGAGGACATGCCAGGCCCAGAAGGCGCCGCGGCACGCCATCTGCGGTAGGATTCGCTAGAGGGAAGGGAAAAACGCAGGATTGATGATGGTGGCGGCAAGGAAAAGGCCGGAAACATCTGGGCTTTCCAGCGGCGCTGACTAGCGCCGCCGCTGCCTGACGCTGCTGGGGCTTTTCGATTCATGCACAATTCAACCATCTTTCGCGTGTATCGTTTGATGTTCATCAGTAGGATCGTGTGTCTTCGTGAGCGCCCCAGCTCGCTGCCTCTGGGGGCCGCCCATGCGAGCATGGATGTCAGTGACCGCCGCCGCTGCCGCTGGCAGGCCGCCAAGGCAGGCTGCACAGCGTGGTCTGCTCACTATGATCTTTTGTCTCACTAAAACGGTCTAAGAGGGCAGAGGGCGGGAGGCAGCAGCAACCTGCCGTAAGTACATGCGGGACGGCTGCGTGCCCAAATGGGTTTCGAAACTCTGGCAGGTGCCGACAAACCCCACAATTTCGCTTCTCTGTAGTCTCTAAACAGGATAGAATAGTTAGAACGCTGTCGGAGCACCTGCAGGAAGCCAGAGCAAGAGGTCATGGCCAAGGTCCGCGCAGGTGTGGTGGCAGCCCGCCTTCAGGCTGGGAGAACTTCCCACCGCATCCGGCGGTTGTCACGCAAGCCGGCAGGCTGTGCATGCGGGGCCGGAGGGTGCTCTGCGGAGTCTCGTGCAATCATGCCTTCCTGTCCCCCACCTGTAGGCCTCCATCATTGCTGGAATGGCCCCAGACACTCCTCCCGAGGGGATGATGCCCGTGGAATCGCCGCCGCAACTGGGCCTCTGGCACCGGTGAGGGCTGCGGCGGCACCCGCTGCCCGCTTTCGCAGCCGCCCTGCCGCCCTCGTGCAAATGCCAGCCCTGCGTGCTCACCCTTGCCTACACACTCCACTCGTCCATTGCTTCGAGCAGGATACTGAGTTCAGGTCATCCCATCAGGGCTGAAGGACGACGGTGTCCATGACGGCGGCGAGTTCCCATCTCCTCCTTGCCGACCGCCTGCGTGCTCTGGCCATGCCCACCACCTCCCTCCACCGTGCCCCTGTCAGCGAGCCATGCCACTGACCCACGGGCGCCCTACTCTTCTCGCCATCCCCTTCCCACCCCCTACCGGTCTGCCTTCATCCCTCGCTGCGCCCACCCTGCCCCGCTCTGCCTCGCCCTGCCCTGATGCCGTTTTGCCAGCTGCCAATGTGCCTGTGCCCCACAGCCATCAACCCTACTGCCCCTACTGCTGCTGTAGACCAGCCCAAGCTGCAAGCGCAAGGAACAGCAGGCTGAGCGCCCCAACTGCGCATGGTCGCGCTGTGAACAAGGTGAAGCACCATTTCTGGGCCGACATCAAGCACTCGAGGCTGTCGCCGCCCAATGCTGCCTTTGCGCAGCTGGCTGTGAGGCGGGCTGGGGCGTGACTGCTTGCGGTCAGGGGTAGCAAGCTGGCTCTGACTCTTGACTCTGTTAATTCCTCAGAGCCGCCCACCTTCAGTAGCCTGATGCACTGGCTGACACACACTTCTGTGTGTGCCTGCAGCTGGAGCACGGCCAGCAGCATGGCCTGAAGAAGGCACTACCGCATGATGATCAGTTCTTCCGTCCCTTATACCAAGCGTGTGAAGAAACTGTGGGCCACTACAGCAATGTGAGGGTCAGCCAGTTTGCTGATGCTGCGGTTAGCCTTCTCCATGCATGAGTGGCAGCTTCGCACATGCGCCCCACCCACTTTGACCTTTGCTCCACACCCCCAACCACGACCTGATGTGCCATCCCCTGTGCTTGATTATCTTTCATCAGCAGCTCCCCTGCGGGTACGCAGGGGTACTGCTGGTACCATGTAATGCAACACACGTGCGCAGCGAGCGCCGCACTGCGGCGGCGCTGGCCAGCGCCCAGCAGCACCAGCGCCGGGCAGCGTTCTGCCAGCGCTAGTGCTAATCAACCTCGCTGATCAGCGCTGGTGCTTTTTAGCGCTAATCAGCGCTGCTGGAAAGCCCAGATGAAGTGTCCGTCGCAGGACAGTGTCCTCCACAAGCAGCAGCAGTGCATGCAGTTTTTCCCACCTAAACTGAATTTAGCTTCGGTGTTCAATGGCCAACCTAATCCCCTTGCCTGGGAGTGGCCAGCCCAGGTGCAAACCCTTGACCTTTGCCGCCGCCTCCCCCGCCCTGTGCCGCCAGCTGCGCTGCTCAGTGGACAGTTCTCTGGAACTGCAGTGATCAAAGGCCCTGGCATCACCATTCACCAATTGCGTTGCATTTGGGATCGAAAAACAAAACAGCAAGCGCGCTCTGCTGCTGCCGTGCACGGATCGCCCTCGAAACCGTTGCGGCCAAGGTCCGCCCCATGCCGCCGCCGCCGCCGCCGGGTAGCAGGGCTGCTCCAGCTTTTCCGCACCCTTGGCATGCTTCAGGCGCGGAGGGGCGCAGCGCACATGCATCAACAAGCCAGCCATCAGGAGCCAGGTCGGCGTGCCTCACAGGTAGAGGGAGGCGGCAAACACTATGTCCCGCTTGATCCGCGCGATGGCTGCCTCAAACCGCTCCCCCAGCCCCGCCTCCCCCACCGCCTTGAGCACGCCCGCCACCTGGCGCAGCAGCTCCTCCAGGCGCCGGATGGCGCGCACCAGCGAGCCCTGCGGGCAACGGGGGGCAGCGCAGGCAGGCTGTTGTGTTCCCAGCCAGCATCCGTGGTTGGTGCAAGAGAGTGTGCATGTGCACATGTGCTTGAGACACATGGCAATGCCAGGCAGGCTGGGCGCTCGGCAACTCCAGTCGCGGGGGGCGGAGCAGCGGGACGGACGGTGCTGTGCCAGCAGTGCAGCCAAAAACGCCTGGTGCTTCCCGCCTCCGCCACGCAACCCATAGGCCTCACCTCAAACACTTCGGTACGCTTGAGCAGCTCTGCAAAGGACAGGCCCTGGCACCAGCCAGCCACCGACTCCATCATGTCTGCAGCAGCACAGCAGGCACCGTGGATGGGCCAGGGGGGTAAAGCCGACTACGCACAGCACAGCAGCGGCGAGCCGTGGGAGGGTGAGCTGCCAGCCAGGCACAGCCGCTCGCTGCCGCCGGCATTCGCAGCCGCAGCTGCTTCTGCCCCTCCACCCGCGCCAGCAGCGGCAGCACGGCGCTGTGATTGCCAGTACCACGTGGCACCGCTGCACACCTGGCCGGAAGCTGTCCACGTACTCCTCAACATCCATCTCCATCTTGCAGTCGGCCGCCGCCCGGGCAACCTTGCGCGCAGCCGCGCGCAGCGAGCCGTACGGAGCCTCCAGGTCGGGGCGCACCTTGTTGCCGGTCTGCGGCACACGAGGGGGCGAATGATTATGTGTGTGGTGTGGTGGGGTGGGGTGCGGTTGCGAGGGATTGAAGTGGGCGGCAGGAGGGGTGCCTCCCACACATGGATGGAACCATGCAGACGAGAGCTGCCCCACCTCGCTCTTCTCCCGCCAGATGAAGCATGAGATGAGAGCGCACAGCTGCTCCAGGCTGCAGGCGCAGGCAGGGAGGGATGCAGGAGATGGTCAGGCGCCTCAAGCGGCAACAGGGCCACAGCAAGCCAACAAGCAGAGGACGAGGGTCGTACGCAGCGTGCCAGCAGCAGCCCGGGCTGGCAGCCACAGCGCAGCCTTTGCCAGCATGCCAGAGCAAGGCCCGCCCCTGTCGGCCCTGCCGACCTCAGCCAGGCTAGCAGCACATGTGCTGTGCTGTCCTGCCACAAGGCGGGCAGGCCCCACCTCATGTCCTGGAACACCCCCGCAAACACCATCTCCGTCAGAACCAGCTCATCCCCCGTGCTCAGCTCTGCAGCAAAGCGGCCCTGCAGGTGCAGAAGGCAGTGTGCAAGCAGCGCAGCAAGCAGCGGGGCTGGGTTTATGCATGTGCGAAGGTGTATGTTTGCGTGTCTGCGAAAATTTGGTCAGCCAGGCGCCGCCACCAGAGCTATGCGGCAGCCAGCTCCATCCAACTGCATGCCAACCCACCACCACCTCTTCCGCACACGCTCCACGCCACCAGCCCTGCCCACACACACCTTGAGCGTCACCACACCGCTCCTGTCCAGGTAATCCAGCCGGCTGAGCACCCGCTTGCGGGCCTTCAAGTCCTCGTGGCAAATCAGGGCCGCGGCGGCCTTGCATTCCTTCTTGGCGGTACGTACAGCCTCGTGCAGAGCCTGCAGTACGTGAGGTGGTACAGTACAGGCAGGAAAGGGGTGGAAAGTCGGCGCAGGCGTGAAATCCAGGGGGGGGCGGCACGTGTTAAGGGCTGGCGGCAGAGGGGTGATGGAGGAGGGAGGCGGTGCCTGCCGTCCCTGCAGCCACCAGCCATGCTCGGCCCCACATAAACCAACAGCCGTACAACCGGTCCTTGATAACCCCCACCTGTTTCTGCAGCAGCGTGTCGAGCTGCTGCTGCAGGCTGGGGGATGCGGCCAGCGGGTGCTTGGCCAGCAGCCCCTCCACGCTCTCAGCCTTGCGCAGCAACTTGCGCAGGCCCTCGTCCTGAAGGGCGCAAGCAAGGGGGGGAGGTGTGAGCGTGTGCCTGGTGCAGCTGCAGGTGTGAACCAAGCCAGGCAGAAAGGCAGGCAAACTGCTGCCACAAAAGGCGGTTAGGAGGCAGCAGTGCCCCCCGCAGCAGCGGTGCAGCTCCAGATGGCTGCAGAAGGACGGCAGTGGCACTTCCAGCACACGGCAGCAGTGACATACACAGCTGCGGCAGAACTGTGGCAGACCCCACCTCTATCCGCATGTCCTCTGCTGGGTCCAGCTGCGGCAGCCCCTTTGGGAAGCGCCGCTCCACCTCTGCCAGCGACTTGGCGCACCGCTCGCGCGCCTCCTGCAGAGCAGCATGGCGGTAAATGGGTCGCACGATGAGTCCATGGGGCAAGGAGCGGATGGAACAAAGGGTCATGATTGATGGCAGGAGACGCAAGAAGTGTGGACACACTCCGCGGAAGCAGGCAGCTCAGCGGCGGCGCAGCGGGTGTTTGGCCATCACGGGAAGCATTGGCAGTGACAGGACGGCAGGAAGGTTGGCTGGCTGCTGCCGCCGGTGTGGACTCGCCTGTGTGCGCAGGTCTTGCGGGATGTAGATGCGCAGGCTGCTAAAGGCGGCCAGCTCGGGCAGCGCCACCGGGATCACGGCGGGGGAGCCCTTGGCGCCTGGCGGCACAGGCACTGCTCGCCTGCAAGGTTTGTCGGTGGCATGAGAGGTCAGTCGGAGGAAAGGGTGAAGTGGCAATGGCCACAGCAGAGGAGAGGCAGGAAGGAGAGCAGCGACGGTGTGCTTTGTTCTGCACGGCAGCACAGGGCAGGGCAGGAAAGGAAGAGACGGCGCGGCAAGGAGCAGCAAGGAGGCCCAGCGCAGCGGGCTCACCGTCGGCTGGCGCCCTGATGGCGCAGCGACTCCTCTGAGCAGTTGCACAGCACATCGACGATGTACTGCCTGGTACCGCGCTTTCCTCCAGCACTGGTACCGGCGCCGCCCACCTCCTGGCCCACCTGCTGCTTCCACGCCAGCTCAAAATTCACCACCACACCCACCACACCCTCGCCGCTGCCGCCGCTGCCGTTCGCTCCCTTCGCTGTTGCCGGCGCCGCGGAGCCTGGTGCCTCCTGCCGTGGCTGCGACACCGCCGCTGGCGGCTGCTCAGGCGGCAGCACGCGCACCAGGCGGCCCGGCTGCAGGAAGGGCAGGCAGTGCTGCGGCGCAGCCACTATGGCCCGCGTCTCTGCCCTCAGCTTGGCCAGCTGCTGGCTGCACCAGGGGCGACGGCAAAGGCAGGTGGCCGGGCAGGCAGGTGGGCACAGGGGAGGCTTGCACGGCAGCCGACCGGCAAGGGGCCCGCAGCTCGCCCACAAGCCCCTCTGCCCTGGGCAAGCGCTGCCTCAGGGCAGGCTCCACAAGCCCTCGCCAGGGGGCTCCCACTCTGAATGTGATTCCCCGAGGGAGCTACCCACCTGAGCGCCAGATACTCCTTCACACTTTCCTCCTGCTCAATCACCAGCCCATCACGCTCCGCCTGCACAGCACAGCACAGCACAGCTCAGCACAGCACGCCTGGCAGGTCGGTCCCAGCTGGCGAGCGACCGCCTGCACGCCCTGGCTGCCAGCGATGGCCAGGCGGGATGGCGAGGCGGCGCCACCCGACATCGCCACAGCAGCACGCAGGTCACTACACCAGCGCCAGCCCGCAGCGGCACTTCGGCCTCCCTGCCACGCCAGGCCCAAAGGGGCAAACCGACCTCGAGCCGCCGCACGCGCGCCTCCAGCTGCGGCAGGGCCCTTTCCATTTGGAACTGGCGGTAGGAGCGGGCCATCAGCTCCTCGGGCTCCACACCCTCCACCCTGCGCAGGCCGCCCGCGCGCGCGTGTGCGTGTGTGTGTGTGTGTGTGTGGTGTGGTTGCAGCGGCACGCCGGCTGGCTGGCTACACGCGGGCGGCTCGGCAGCCCCAGCCTCGCGCCCGGGCCCCCAACCTCGCCTCTCGAGCGTGCTGCTGTGCACGCATGCTGTCCGCTCAGGGCGGGGCACAGCGGGGGGCACCCCACCTCAGCAGGTTGAGCAGCATGGAATACTCGAGATGGAACTCAGAGTGGAGCGTGTCGGGAGCGCCCTGCGTCAGGTGGCGTGGGAGGAGGCGTGCGGAGGGAGGCGTGCGGCGGCCTTGCGTCAGTGCTAGGCGCCAGCGCCACGAGGCGGCGGCGGCAGCGGCAACAGCCTGGAGCAGGTGCCGACCTGCCGGCGCCTGCGCCGTGCCCGTACCACGCCCTGTGCAGTGGTACCATTCTCCATGCAGCGGTACCGCCCGCGTACCACCCCACCTTGATCATGTCCTTGGCCACCGCCGGCTCCAGCTTCTCATCCATCATCAGGATGGCCACGCCTGCGGCGGAGCGGGGCACCCAGGGAGGAAAGCGGGCGCGGGGCAGCGCGCCAGTCAGCCAACCCCATGCGCAGCAGCGGGGCGTGGAGCCAGCGCACGGGAGGGTGGGCCGCAGGGAATGGCCATCCCGTGAAGCGGGGCAGCAGGCATGGTGGCGGCACCGCAGACCCCGCCCGCCGCAGCCGCCACGCGCCCGCGCACACAGCAACGTAAGCCCCACACCGCCAAGCCTGGCATGCCGGCAGCCACCGCCGCCCACCTTTGTCGTCTAGCCCGCGCCGCCCGGCCCGCCCGCTCATCTGGATGTACTCTCCGCTGCGCACCCAGCGGAAGCCGCCGCCGTCGAACCTGCACACAAGGCGCAGACAAGAGGTGGTGGCTGGAGCGGCGGCGGGGACCAGGTGGCAGCAGGCAGCGCCTAGATGGCAGGGGGCCGGGGCAGGCGTGAGCCGAGCGCAGGCGCCTCCGCTGGCAAGCCGGCCAGCAGACCATGGCTGGGGAGGGCATGGCAGAGTACAGCAGAGCAGGGCGGGGCAGAGCAGGGCAGACCATAGGAGACCATAGCAGAGCAGCGCAGGGCAGGGCACAGCCAGAGCTCTGAGGGAGGTGGGTGTGTGGGGGGTGCGGCCCGCAGGATGGGAGTCAGGCGCCTGGGCAGTGGACACATGAGCGAAGCAGAGCAGAGCAGGAAGAAAGCAAGAAGGCAGAGGGGCACTCACTTGCGCACGTGAGTGAAGACGACCGTCTTGGCGGGCATGTTGAGGCCGGTAGAGAAGGTCTCGGTGGCAAACAGCACCTGCGGGCAGACAGGCAAGGCACTCACGCACGCGTGCTGTGAAGCACACAGGCAACAAAGGCCAACAGGGGGAGGCAAGCAGGAGGAAGGGGCCGTCGCGGCTGGTGGTGCGGCGCTGGCGGTGGTCGCGCGGGCTGGGCTTGGTGGTGTGGTGCGAGCGAATGCGTGGGTGCTCCAAGCCGCCGCGCCGCGCTGTGCTCCCTCTCTCTCTCTCTCTCTCTCTCTCTCTCTCTCTCTCTCTCTCTCTCTTCCTCTGTTCCTCGCTGTCCCTCAATCAAGCACACACACTCTCCATCGGCCCACCTTGAGCAGCCCCTCCTGGAACAGAATCTCCACCACTTCCTTGAGGATGGGCAGCAGACCCGAGTGGTGCACCCCCACGCCGCGCCGCAGCATGGGCAGCGCGCCCGCGATCTGGGGCAGCCGCCGGTCCGCGTCTGCACAGTGGACAGCGGAGGCGGCAGGCGGTGCGGTGTCTGCCGTGGTTTTTCAATAGCGAAAGCCCGGGGCGGCAGCGGGGAGACGCACAGAACCACCTGCAGCGCCGCTGGCGGTTGCATGCCCCCAGCAGCAGTAGCTGCAGCACCATAACTCAGGGACGTACCGGACAGGACGTCTATGGCGCTGCTGAAGATGCCGTCCACCAGCTTCTTCTCGGCTTCCTCGTTCAGGTCCAGGCCTTGCATCTGCGCCGCGGCAGCACCAGGCGGCAGCAAGCTCAGCCAGCAGCACCACGCGGCACCAAGCTCAGCCAGCGGTTACTCAACCGGCATGCTGCCCCCACCACCACCACTGCGCCAACCAGCCGCCGCCGCTCCACACCAGCGCCGTCGCGTTCGTTGGCAGGCACCCGTCGCCACCGCGCACGCCCAGGCCACCGCCGCCGCCACCTCACCGCCACCTCACCGCCACCTCGGCACCTCCCCCACCTGCTTGGCCAGCGCCTCGCACTCCTTCTTGCTGAAGGAAAACACGATGACTGGGTCGAAGCGGCGCTCGGCAATCATGCGCACAATCTTGAAGATGTCGCTTTCCTCCTTGGGGGCCCCCGCCTCCTGCACCCCGCCCTTCTTGCCCTGCACGACACGCAGGCAGGAGCGGAGCCGAGGCCGAGGCCAGGCGGGGCCGCCGGGAAGCACAGGGTTGAAGGCTCATTCTGGTGAGCCATGCACGCGCGGCGGCAGCTGATGCATGGGAGCCTGCGGCCGGCTGCAGCTTGCGTGGCCGGCGGCGCCCGGGCGTTGCGACCCGCAGCAGCAGGGCCCGCCCTGCCCGCGGCACCCGGCCCGCGAAGCAGGCCAGGCCGGCCAGGCAGGGGCGCGGGCGCACCTTGCCGCCGCCGCCGCCCGCCGGCCGCTTCGCCTTCACTTCCGCCTCTTGCAGCTGCGCCACCGCCTTTTGGAAGTTGTCCTCCCTGCAGCGTGCGGGGCGGCGCGTGCGGCACACACCGAGCATAGGTGTTGTGTGCCAGCTGGCAGCTGTCCGGTACCATTCGGTGGCAACCAGCTTCGGAGCCGCGCTGGCTGCCCGGCGCCGCAGCCAGCAGCGGTGCCAGGCGCCGCCGCAGCCGGGCCGCATCATCACCTGAAGGTGCCCTTGTTGTCTACCACCAAGAACAGCCCATCGCCTCCGGCTGGGAAGATGTAATGCTCCAGGGGCGTGGGGCGGTAGTCTGGGGGCGGCGAGGGTGGAAAGATAGGCAGGTGGGCAGGTGGGCGGGCACATGAGTAGATGGGGTGGGTGGGAGAGGCGCTGGCAGATCCGGAGAGCGCCCGGGCCTCCCCCCTGCCCCCCCTGCCACACACACACACACACACGCAGCCCACCTGTACACACCACGTGGCAGGGGCTGCTCTGCATTCCGGCCACAGCGTCCTCAGCTGGCTCCCCCTGCCCTTCCTGCTCTTCTGCCACACTCTCTCCTGCCCACCTGTGTACACGACGTGGCAGGGGCTGCCGTGCGTCTTGGCCACCCAGTCGGCAAACTCGCGGGAGTTAGGGATGGTGGCGGACAGGAAGGCGAAGCGGGCGGTCTTGGGGGCCAGGATGATCGACTCCTCCCACACCACGCCACGCTCCTTGTCCCTGCGGCAGCATGGACGGGGTGGGCGCTGAACGGTCAAAGGCTGGGTGGCGCGGTGGATGAGTGGCGGGTGGGGTGTGTTGATGGCGGTGGTGGGGTGTAACAACGGGTGGGCGGAAGCAGCAGAAGCATCGGCGTATGGGCGTCAGGGCTGACGACAGCCAGGCAGGCGCCAAAAGCAGCGCAGCGAGCCGCGGCAGCGCTGCCGCCCGGCTGCACACCCGGGGCATGCCAACAGCAAGCGGGAGCCAAACAAACAGAAACACAAGCCAGCCCCCAAAATGTGAAAACTCAACAAATTAATTTAACTTGTTGTGTTTCCAACTCACCGCAGGTAGTGTATCTCGTCGTACACGATCAGCGCCAGCTGGCGCACCAACTCGGTGCCGCGGTACATCATGGACCGCAGGATCTCTGTCGTCATGACCAGGCACGAGGCGTTGGGGTTGATGGTCACGTCGCCTGCAAGGGTGATGGCGTGGGGGGTTGAGGTTGAGGTTGGGGGCAGGGCTGGGGGCTGGGTGGGAAGCTTGGAGACATAGCCGGGCTGGTTTGTTTGCTGCGATTTGTGGAGGACAAGGGGCGAGCGTGGAGGGATGGGCGGGTGAGGCATGCCGGCCAGCTGGCCTCCCATGCCAGCCCTCCTGCCTCGCGCCCGCAGCTTGATTCCCTCTCCATGCCTTCTTGAGTCGAGCCCCTCCCAAGCCCAAGCCCCGCAGTTGAGCCCACCCACTGCCGTCGTCGGCACCCCACCGCACAGCCATGCGCCACCCACCCGTCATCAGCCCCACGTCCCCAAACTGCTCCTGCAGCTCGCGGTACTTCTGGTTGGAAAGCGCCTGCGGTACAGGCGGCACATGGCGGTGCTCAGGGCGGCAGGCGGACCGACCCGCGCCGGCCCGCAGCCTCGAGCGTGCGCTGCACCAGCAGGCAGGCAGCGCACCGCGGCCCTGCACTGCCCTGCTGCTGTGCCACCGTCCCGCTGCCCTGCGCCTGCTGGCCGGGCGGCACGCCACACTCATGCCTCTACCAGGCATCACATGGCAGCCCCGCCGAGCCCCCCAAAAGCTCTTCTAATCCCACAGACGCCCCCAGCAAGCGCCTGCAGGGCACCCAGCTGCGCCCACCTTGAGCGGCGAGGTGTACACGACCTTGTGCCCATCCCTCAGCGCCATGCCAAACGCATACTCCGCCACTACCGTCTTGCCAGCTGAGGTGTGGGCCGCCACCAGCACGCTGTGCCCCGCCTCCAGGGCGTTGACCGCCGTCTGCTGGAAAGGATCGAGCGGGAACGGGTACTCGCGCGCCGGCGGGCCCGCCCGCGGCGGCGGCGGCAGCAGCGAGCCCTCCTCGCCTGCGGCGGGTGGGGGTGACGGCGGGGTTGAGGGTGCAGCTGCCGCCAGGCATTGTACCGGGCCCAGGGCATTCGCGCTGGTGTCCCGTTTCTCAGGCAAGAGGCAGTAGGGCAGGCAAGACGCAGGCGGCAGCGGCGGCGGCAGAAGGCGGCGGCGGCAGGCACACCCAGCACACTGCCGCGCCGCATGTCGGCTGATGTCTGCATCGCGCTGACACTCAGAACACACGATGCGGCCCCCCAGAGGCCTCGCACCTGGCGGCCATGCCACTTCGTGCGTGCAGCTCTTGCCGTCGACCTCTATCAAATTGGCACCGCTGGGCATGGGCGCCACGCGGTCGCTGGCCAGCCGGGCCCGCTTTGGGGGCGGCTCAGCGGCCATGGCGGTGGCCATGAACGTCCAGCGGGGGAGATTGGTGACCTGAATGTATGGATCGCCCAGAGGTGCCTGAATATGCATGCATGTTGGAGGTGAGTTGGAGCACCATGTCGCGCTGGCACACGGCCTTCCGACAGCGCCTTGGATCGCCCTTCTCATTGCTCGATCCACAGGTACGCCCTCTACCTGAATTCCTGAGCCAAAGCCACTCACCAGTGGCACCATGTGGACGTCATCCCGCCCGAGCAACAGCTACCGTAGCAGCAAAAGCCACGGCCCACGGGCGACAAGCAGATGGGTAACCGATTGCATTGATAGGCGGCGATACACCTGACGCAGCGCTGGCCCGCCACCCCAGGGGTTAGCTGCCGCCACCGCCATCGCGCCACCCACCCACCGCAGCGTAGCCTGCTCTGTGCCTGCCAGCAGGCGCGCGAGGAGGGTTACGACTATGCCACCCAGGCCCACATCGATTTTTACTTGCATGGCGTGGTGATGGACCACGTGGGGGGCGAGCGTGGTGCCCACTCAATCTCTCGCTGCTGTGTTTTTGCCAGGGTGCTACTGTAGCTCGACTGCTGCTGGTGGGCAGGCCCCTGGACAGCTGCGCGCTGCACCTCCCCTGCTGTCGCTCATGCCACACCATCGGGCTGCCCCTGCAGACCGACCCCAGCGGTGATTCGCCGACAGCCGCGCAGCAGCGGAAGGGGGCGGTACAGATGGCGCCCAACCGCCCGCACCCCGCCGACCGGCCCAAGCCAGTGTAGCGGCGTGGAGCTGCTGCTGCCCAGGAGAGGGCAGCTAGCGCCAGGCGGTCGGTGATCGGGGCCGCAAGTGGCATCAGGGCAAACACGGCAGGCTGTTCTTGTCAGAGCATACAGCGGTGCCAGATAGAGTGAGGTGCTGTGCCCACAGGGTTGGCGACGGCCGTGTCGGAGCGCCGGCCTGACCACTATTGCGGCATGACGGACCAGTACTAGTGCCTGCCCTGTTGCCTCATAGCAGCTGGCCATGTTGAGAGCATTTCACATCATGGGTTCTGTGCAAGTGCCTGGGACAGAGACGGCGCCAGAGTGGCAGCTTCCAGCCAGCTGCGCACCGCCGACATCCTTGCAGCTTCACCCGCCCGCCATCTCGAGTCTCGTGTGCTACTCCTGCCTGGGCAGGTGCATTTATTCCCGCTTCCTGTCCTGACTTGATTTCAACATGCACCTGCTGCGAGGTAACCGCATGACGCGAGGCTTTTGGGCAGACCTGGCGCTGCTTGCCGTTCTGTTGGCCGGTTTCGGTGAGCTCGGAACCAGCGCTCAGCAATAAAATTGCATCGCTGATGATGTAGCAGAGCGCGCTGCGCTGGAGCATGCTCAGGCCCCGCATGTATGGGCCCCGGAGGCGCACACGTCCCTGACCTGACGCAAGCGAAATGTGAACATGATGCAGGCAGCGGCGCACGGGCCGTCGGCAAGGTGGGCGGCTGCTGTCACTGCCGCCGCTGTGCATAGCGTGGCGGCACCGCCGCGGTGCCGAGCGCCAGCTGCTCAACCGCCACACCTGCTGGCCGTGCATCCTTGCCGTCCTGTCTCGCCTTGGCCCGTGCCCACCGCTCCGCTGCCCGTCTCCCCGTGCCCGCAGCGGTGGGACGTGCTGGGTTCGGCCGCCGGCGCGACCGCCGCCAAGGCGCACCACCACAGCCTGGCCCTGGACGCAGCAGACGGCGGCAGGCCGTACCTGGCAGCCCTGGAGGGGCCCGGCTACAACCTGACGGTGCGCAAGTACGTTAGCAAGGAGGCGGGGTGGCAGGCCCTGCCGCAGCCCAGCGGCTCTGGGGCCGCGGGCTATGTGGCTCTGCTCATGCACCCGACCCAGCCGGGAAGGCCTTGGGTGAGCTGGGCGCTGCCGGTGCTGGCCACACGTGTGTGCCTGTGTGTGCCTGCGCGGGTGCTGTATGAACGGAGATGGCAAAGTCATCGTCGTTACAAGTGCTGCTCCTGGGCAGCTGGTGCTGGTGCGTTGCCCCGCCGCACGCCATGACGCATGCACCGCCCCGCGCCTGACTGGCACTGCCCGTTTGGCTTGGGGCCTGTGGCGGCGCGCAGGTTGCGTACGGGGACCCGTCCCGTGGCGGCAGGCTCAGCGTGCGGGCCTTCACAGGCGCCTCCTGGGTGGCCAAGGGCCAGCCGGGGCTGTCCCAGATCCCGCTGTCCTCGGTGCCGCCCAAGCTGGCCTTTGCCCCGGATGGCGCTGCCTGGATTGCGTTCCGGGTGGGTTCCGCAGAGGTGGGGGATGAGGGGTGAGGACCGCGCCGGGCGTGCGGTGCGGCGGCGTGCAGGACAATGCAGCGCAGCGCACGCAGCACAGCGCGGATGCAGCGGGTGTGCTTGTGCAAGAGTGTGAGGCTGAGAGGCAGCGGCGGGCGGGAGCGCCGCGGCGGGGCCCTGGACGGACCCTCCGCGCAGCCCCGTCCAGCCGGCCTGGCTGCCTGGCCGGCAGGCCTGCTGACTCGCGCCGCATGCCGGCCTCCTGCTCCCGTGCCGCAGGACGGCCCGCCCACGGGGCCCTTCAACATCGTTGTGATGAAGTGGCTGGCGTCCAGCAGCAGCAGGGGCCAGCGCGCCGCTGTGTCCCCTGCAGAGGCCGAGGACGTCCAGCTGGCGGTCGGCCCCAACGGCGAGGTGAGGCGTTCCCTGGGGAGCTCCCGCGAGGCGCGCTGCCTGCGCTGCCCAGCACCACTCGCCTGCCAAGAGCCCGCCGCCGCCCCTGCCGCAAGGCTCCTCTGCATGCGCAACCCTCGCCAGCCAGCACCCCACCGCCACCCCTGCCACCAGCGGCAGCGCCAGCGCTGCAGGCACGCCCACATCCACGCACGCAGTCACCCCTGCCCTGCCCTGCCCTGCCCTGCCCTGCCCCGCCCCGCCCTGCCCTGCCCTGCGCTGCAGCCCTATGTCGCGTTCCGAGACATGGGCGACGGCAACTTCCCGCTGTCGCGGGGCATGGTGGTGCGGCGGGTGGCGCTGGCGGGGGGCGGCTTCCAGTGGAGCCCGCTGGGGCCGCCGCAGCAGCCCTACTTCACGCTGGCGATGGAGGTGGGTGTGCTGGGTGTTGAGTGGATGCAGGGAGGTTGTTTCGGTGTTCGGCGAATAGGCTGGAGGCAGTAATCTTGGTGTGGAATCGGTTGGCCCACCGTGTGGGGAGCCCGGGCTGCGCGAAGCACCTCGCTGCGTACTGGCTGGCTGCGGAGCTTCGAGTTGCCTCCCCTGCCGGCTGGCCGCCAAGCTTCCTCTCCCCCGCTGCCCCTGCCCCGCCGCACGCAGCCCCGCACCATCGGCCTGGCGCTGCACCCGCAGATCGGCGTGCCGCACGTCTCTTTCTCAGACAGCGGCGCCGGTGGCAAGGTGACGGGTAAAGCGGCTGGGCCCCAGCGGCTGGCGCCAGCTGGGCCAGGCCGGTTTCATCGGGGACCAATACACCAAGACCGCGCTGGTGAGGGCGGGGCCGCGGCTGGGCGGGAGGCGGCAGCAGAGGGGCCGGGGAAGGCGATCAAGTGCTGGCAGGCGGCTGCGGCGGCTGCGGGAGGCCGACCGTGCCGCGCCGCCTCGCAGAGGCAGGGGCGCAGCCGCCTGCTGCCATCTGCAGCTTGGCCGGCGGCTGCTGCTCGCCAGGCAGCCCTGGTGGCCTTGAAGCCTGACCAAGCAACCAAGCACACACCCTCCCTCGTCCCCTTGCGCCCCCCCCGGGACCGCCCGCGGTCGTTCTCCCAGGGGGCGGTACTGCACCTGGCCTACCACTGCAGCATCGAGGGCGCCCCCAAGCGCGCGTGCGTGCGGCGCTACGTCGGCGCGCGCTCCGCGTGGCGCCCGCTGGGCTGCCTGGGGCTGTCCCAGGGCGCGGCGGCACACCTGGGCCTGCAGCTGGCGGGCTCCACGCCCGTGCTGTCCTTCCAGGATGTGGGGCTGGTGCAGCGGGCCGCGGTGCTGAGCTATGCGTGACCCGCGGGCGGCCACGCGCCTCCGAGCATGCCCACCCCACTCAGCCAGCCTCCCTGCCTGTGGAGGTGTGCTCCTCCACCTCATCCCACTTCATCCCATCTAAAGTTGATGAGACCAACCATGGATACGACACCCTTGCCTGCATGCCTTGAGCGATACTGACATGGCAAGCTTTCATTGGTGAACCGCAAAGGAAGCCCGAGAAGGAGACTGGCTTGCAGCGGCGGACCCATGGCTGCCGCCGCCTCTCTCCTCCGCCCCGCCAGGCTGGCGCCGGCAGCCACCAGCCTGGATGCACAGCGCAATGTGTGGAGCATTACAGGCGGCAGCGTTTGCCGGCGGGGCGTGACTTGCTGTGCAGGCAAGCAAAGGGATTCACAATACAAATTGGCTTTGGAGAAGCGACACGTGAGCGGCAGTGAAAAAGGGGGGAGGAGCAAAACCGCAATGGGGCAGGTTGGAAAATGGCTGCGGCTGGCTGGCTGGCTGGCTGGGCCTGGCGGGGAGCAATGCAAAAGCGCACGCCACGCTGCTGCCACGCACAGCGGGGAGCGAGCTGTGGCCGCTTGGCACTGTAGGCGCGCGCGGCGCGCGGCGCTGCTGCCGGCGCCCGCTCGTCGCGCCCAGTGGCGGCTGCTGGAGTGGCGCATCTGCAGCGGCGGCTGCCGCGCTGCGCACGCTGCGCTCACACCCAGCTCTGGTCGCGGGCGTTGCGCACGCAGTGGAGGAACTTGGCCTCGGGGCCCTGCGGGTCCACCTGGTAGTCGTACCGCCAGCCGGCTGCGGTACAGGCAGTACGGGAAGGCGGCGGGGCGGGGGTGAGCAGGCAGCCGGGGGCGGCCGGGCAAGGAGCGGGGCTGGGGCGCGGGCCCGGCAGGTGCGGGCGGGGTGGCAGGGGGCTACGCCGCCGCAGCCAACCAACAGAGAGAGGCATCGCAACCCAAGAGAGGCAACAATTCAGCGGGTTGAAAGGGGGAGGATCACGAGGGCGGGTGCGCCTGGGCACACCTGTGAGGGGCAGGGACATGAGGATGGACTCGATGCGGCCGCCCGTCTTGAGGCCAAAGATGGTGCCGCGGTCATACACCAGGTTGAACTGCGGGGAAGAAGAAAGGCGGGGAGGTGAAGGGCGGGGCAGGGAGGGGAGTGCACGGGCAGGGGCGGGTCAGCCAGGCGAGGCTGAGCTGTGGGGGCAGGCAGGGCACCGTGCCGGATCGGCTGCCTGGAGGGCTTGGCAAGCGGGGGCAGGCAGACGCGCCCGCGCAGGCGGCAGGAGCCAGCGTGCGCGCTGCCCGCCGCCACAGCCCGGCAGCAACGAGTGTGCGACCAGCCAGGCTGGACGGCCCGCCGCCCGCCAGCCCCACACGGAAGGCAGGGCAAGCTTAAGCTGCCATCCGAGCAGGCCAGGCCCCGCCGCCGCCTCACCTCCACATACCGCCCGCGCCGCAGCTGCTGCCACTCCTTCTGCCGCGGCGAGTAGGGGTCGCGCTTGTGCTTGTTGATGATGGGAACGTAGCTCTCGGCAATGTGGGCCGCACAGTCAGAGCATAAGGCAAAGATGGCGTCCTTGTCACTGCGGGGCAGGGGCGGGGAGGGAGGGGAGGGGCGGCGGCGGTGTGTGTGTTGGGAGGGGGTGGAGGGCGGGCATGCAGCCAGGTGCGGAATAGGCAGGGGCAGAGGGCTCGCCCATGGATGCGCTTTTTCGTTTTAGACAAGCTCCAAAGCTTGGTTAACAAGCTGTGATGCTTGTGTAAACAAGCTGTAAAAGCTCCAAACCTTGGTCAAACAAGCTGTAAAGCTGTAAAGCTAGCTTAACAGCTGTAAGAGCGTGGCAACCACCACCCACCGGTCGTTGAGGTCGTCGAAGAAGATGCCGCCCATGCCGCGCGTCTCGCCGCGGTGCGGGATGAGGAAGTAGTCGTCGCAGGCCAGCTTCATCTTGTCGTACCTGCGGCGGTACGGGGCGGCGCGGCAGGGCGGCACGCGCGGCAGGGTCGGGCGCGCGGATGCGGACAGGCGGCGCCGGCGGGCGGCGGCGGCGGCACGCACCACCGGCGCAGGTGGGCGGCACAGCAGGCACAAGAGAGAGTGGCGCGGGAGGGGCCAGAAGAGCCAAGGAAAAGGAAGAAGGAAGGGAGAGGGGCTGAGGGCCATAGGGCAGGGCGGTGGCGGGGTTCAGGCTCACCAGGCGGGGTCGTGACGGTCGCACACGGCCTAAGAGGGTAGGGAGGAGGGGGGGGGGGGGGGCCGTGGGGAGCAAAGCCGTGCGCGGCAGCAGCAACAGGCCCCACAACACCCGCCGCCGCCGCCCCCACCAGGGCGAACCCACCGCAGGCGCGCCTCGCAAACGCAGGGCCGGGGGCAACGCCTTGCGGCCCCAGAAACAAGCGGCAGCGCCCAGCAGCACCAGAGCCAGCGGCAACGACTTGCGGCGGCAGAGCCAGCAGGCGGCCGCGCCTTGTATGTTCCGTGGAAGTGCCGCATGTCCTCCTCGTTCACGTAGCAGGGGGTGATGTCGGTGCCGCCGCCAAACCACCACTGGCCGGGCACGCCCTTCCACTCCTCGGTCTCAAAGTAGCTGCGGGCGGCGGCGGCGGGAGAGGCAGAGAGGGAGAGAGTGAGAGGGAGTGGTGTGTGGTGGTGTGTGTGTGCACAGAGAGAGAGAGAGAGCGTGCGTGTGTGTGTGCGTGCGTGGTGCGGTAGTGTGGAGGGGACGGAGGTGCAGGGTCCAGGTTCGTGTGTGTGTGCACAAGGAAGGCGACGGCGGCAGGCCTGGGCCACAGCTGCTGCCAGGCACGGCGAGCGCCGCCGGGCTGAGCGGGCTGCGTCGTCTAGGCGCCGCCTGCCGCCTGCCGCCCGCCCCCCAGGCTGCAGCGCACGCGGCCCGCGCCAGCCCCGGGCCGCGTCGCACGCCGCCGTGGCCTGCCCAGCTGCTGCTGCACCCCCTTCCCACACGAGCGCACACACACACACATGAACACACACACACATGTACACACACACACACACATGCACGCACACACACATGCACGCACACACACTCGCACACACACACATGTACGCACTCACCGGTAGTTGAAGTGCATGGTGGGGCAGTGCGGGTTCCAGGGGTGCATGACCGAGGAGACGCCGGCGGCAAAGAAGGGCACGCGGTCGTCCTGCGGCACAGGGTGGCGTTGAGCACCCAGCAGCGCCCGCCGGTTTGAGCATCCAAACGCGGCAGGGCTGGCGGGGGCGGGGCTCGCAGCTCCCCCTCCCTCTCTGCCCCAAGCGCACCCTGTGGTGCTCGCGCCGCACAACCGCACGCAAGCAGGCGCCCGCGCCCAGGCCCCTGCCGCCCAGGCCCCTGCCGCCCTCCCACGCTGCGTTGCGTGTTGCCCGGCAAGCAAGCGAGCCGCACGGCTGCAGGCGGCACATGCGAAGAGTACCCTCACCCCTCACCTTCTCAAACGGGATGTCCTTGCCCACCGCCACGCGGTAGCTCTCCGCGGGCATGCTGCCGTACACCACGCTCACCGCCACCCCCGCCTTCTCCCACACGTTGCCCTCCTGCATGACGCGCGTGATGCCGCCGCCGCCGCTGGGGCGCGTCCAGGCGTCCAGGCGGAAGGTACCGCCGCCGTCGGCCTCCTCGATGGCCGCGCACACCTGGTCCTGCACGCCCCGGATCATGCGCTCAAACTTGCCGCGCATGCTGCAGGGCGGGTCGGGAGGGGCCCGGGGCGGGGCAGGGAGGGCAAGGGAAGCGGGGGGAAGTGTGAGCGTGGCGGCGCGCGGCCGGGTGCGGCAGTCATGTGCAAGAGGCGGCCGACGGACGAGCACGGGCGCATGCTGTGCGCAGGTAGAAGGGGCGTGGAGCGCAGCGTGTGGCTCCAGCGCTCTTTGCCACGCTCTTGCTGCAGCATGAGCCGCTATATAAGCATATGCATGACGCGTGTGAAATGCATGAAGAGACGTGCCGGGCGAGGGGCGCACCTGTCGGGGTCGTCGATGCCTGGGCGCAGCAGCGAGTCGGGGACGGTGTCGATGTAGTTGGGGGCCTCCAGCATCTTGGCCTGCGAGGGAGGGATGAGGAGCGGGAGTCGGAGAAGGAGGCGAGAGCAGCAGCAGGAGGCTGAGCGGCGGCGGGCCCGGGCGGCCGCGCTGTGCTCACCCCTGCGGCCTGCACCCGCACGGCGGTGCGGGCGGCGCGGCGAGTCTGCACGAGGGGAGGAGGGGGAGAGCGGGGTGAGCGGCGCAGCGCACGCTCATGCAGTGTGGCACGGGCTGGGCGAGCATTGTGGGGGGCGGGCAGCTCAGACAATCCGCATGGGCTGCACGGCGGTAGGGCACCCACCGAGCGCGCGGCAAAGGCGCTGGGCGCCGCCGGGGCGGCTGTCAGGAGATTGGCGGTGACGAGCCCGGCCATGGCGGGCGAATTCAGGGACACGGATGATAGGCCTGTCAAGGGGGACGCGGGGCGTGGCGTTTGCACACAGCTTTCAAGTGGATAGCTCTCCTGTCCAGGCTGGCAGAAACCTAGACTGAAGAGGACAGCCCACGATCCAAATTGATGCATGCTGCTGTGTCCCACCGCAAAGCAGACACACCGCAGAGCAGAGCGAAGCGGTCGTCGTCGTCCATGTGTGGAGTGCTGGGAGGCCTGGGGCAGCCTGCTCCTCGTGGCAGAGAGTTGCTTAAGGGCAGATGGCAACACCTGGGTAGCGCTCATGGGGCGGCGCTCAGAGGCGGGCAGCAGGTGCCTGGCGTCAGCCGCCCGTTGCCCACTCGTGCCTGCAGTGCTCAACGCAGAGAGGTGCTTGCAGTGCTCAATGCAAAGAGGGTTGGTATTCGGCGTGCTTGATCACAGTTGTCCAATGCAGGCAATCGCATGGGCTCTATGCTGCCTTGCAGCGATGCAGTCTGAATCTGCGCTCGCTGCTGCCGCCAGCAATCGCACACAGCTGGCAGCTGCTTGCCGACGTGTGCCACTCTGAGGCAGCCGCGATTGCTCAAATGGACTGCTGTTGAAGTCACATGGCCACCGGGTTGCAGATCAGGGACGCGCTCGGCTCCTGCACGTTTATGCGATCAGAGGGCTGCTTAGGGGCCTGTGCCCAGCGGCGAGCAAGGTGGGCAGCCCATGTGCGGCAAGGCTGGACTGCTTCCCCCACTGCAGCTTGGCATGCTGCTGCTTCCCTCGCCCAAAATTTTAGCCGTGGCTTCATAGGCCCGATTGAGGCAGGTTGCGCCAAGCTGCCAGCCCAGTGGTGCGTGCCGCCGCCAAGCAGCCACCGGCAACCGCCAGCGAGGCAGTTCCACCAGTAGCCCCAGTGTTTCTGAAAGCTGGCGAAATCGCCAATTGCTGGCGAAATTGGGCTGAAAGAAGGCCCTGGCTGGCGATTGGCCGAAGGCCATCGCCAGACGTACCAGGCGAAATACAAGGCGGCCGAAGGCCGCCTTCGCCAACCCATCGCCAGCCATCACATCCCACATCGCCAGCCCCAGCAGGCGCATGGACCTCCGCAGCTGGCTGAGCGGCGGCCAGGGGCCGTCCCAGCAGTCAGCCCCTGCTCAGGAGCAGCAGGAGGAGCAGCAGGAGGAGCAGCAGGAGGATCAGCAGGAGGAGCAGCAGCCTGATCCACCGCCTGCTAGCCCGGCATCGGTGGCGACGGCAGGCGGTGGAGGCGAGTTGGGCGGCAGCGAGCCTGTAGCCAGCAATGATCCAACAGGCAGCAACGAGCCTGCAGGCAGCAGCATCGGTATGCCGCCAGCCAAAAAACAGAAGCTGCACAAGCCGGGCGCGCAGCGGGGCATCCACTCTGAGTGGTTTAAAGACCGCCCCTGGCTGGGCCAGCACGGCAGCAGTGTATTCTGCCACGCCTGCTCTTCTTCAAAGACCAAGCCGGTGATGCTGCAGAACAAGCTGGACACAATCAACAAGCATGCCACTAGCGAGGTGCGTACGGCGCGCACGCAGGGCTGCGGCGGCTTGGCACAATCTCGCCCCTTCTCAGCCTCCCGTTCCTGTTTGTAGGGGCACAAGACCAGCGTCAAGAAGTGGGAGCCGGCGTGCCTGCCCTATGTTCCCCCCAAGAGCACCAGCCAGCAGCTCACCCTGCAGCAGGCAGAGCAGGGTGCCGCGCGTGAGGCGCTGGAGCGTGCGCGCGCGCGTCGCGCGCCGCATTTCAAAATGTTGTGGCACATCTTGCAGTCGGGGCAGTCCATGTTGGCGTTTGAGCGGCTTTTCGGCCCCCTACAGCACTTGGGCCTGCCTGGCATTTCCGCCACACACTGGAATGACTGCGGAGGTGAGGCAGGCGCTGGTGAACGTTCTGACAGCCACGCTTTCCTTGCTGGTTTCTAAAGCCTCCTCCCCTCTTGGCTGCAGGCTGGGAGATGGCGGAGGGCATTGATGCGCCGCTGTTGGAGGAGCTGATCCGCGAGCTGAAGGCATGCCGCTTCTTCTCAATCAGCGTCGATACGAGCACCGACAATGGTGGCTGCGACATGATGGATGTGGAGGTGCACCTTTGGATGGCTGCAAAGCGCGTGTGTCGCTTCGGCACCATGGTGCGGGTGGTGGGCGGAGGCAGCAGGATTTGCAATCCAGCTGGCACAGCTTCCCTGCTTCCTTGCTTGCTGCCGCCAGCTCACTGCCAGCCCCCCTTCCCAATGCGCAGGTGGACGTGGGGCTGCGCACCGACGCGCAGGGCCAGCTGGACCTGCTCCTGGACGTGCTGCAGCGCGTGTTCCGTCTGCCACCCGAGGAGATTGGCGCCAAGCTGGTAGGCGGCGCGTTTGATGGTGCGATGGTATACCAGGGCCACCTGGGCGGCGTGGGTGTCCTGTTGGAGGTGAGCTGAGGGCCTGCCTGCCTGTTGTGGGCAGAGGCGCAAGATGGGTCAACGGCGTCTTGGATGCGCCAGCGCTGCCTGGCTCAAGCCCCTTTTTGCACCCACCCTCTCCTTGTTATAGGAGCAGGTGGCGCCCTTCATTCAGCGCAGCCACTGCAGTGCTCACAAGGGCTCGCTGGCCAGCAAGGCAGTGGCCAGCGTGGAGCTGTTCAAGCAAGTGGAGGCGCTGGTGGGCGACGTGTACAACTTCCTGTCTGCCTCCCCCAAGATGGTGCGAAAAAGTTGCTGCTCTCTGGCCCACTACTTCATAACCCACTGCTGCAACAGGGCTGCAAGAGGATCGGCTGCCCCTGAGCTGCTGTTGTAAACCCCCCTTGCCCTGCCCAGGCGACTAAGTTCAAGGAGGTGCAGCTGGGGCTGCAGGCCTTCCCAGGGCAGCTGGAGTTCGACGACAATGACCAGCTGGTGCTGCGCTTCAACTCGGTCGACGACAGCTTCCCGCTGCAAGCAGAGAAGCCACGCCGGCACCCCCGTGCGTGCCGGTTTACAGAGCCAGTGACGCTCAGCGTGTTGCGACGTGAGATGTCAGCCGCCATGACCGCTGGCACGCAGGCAGCCCAGGCCACCGTGCTGCAGCTGGCAGAGCGTTTTCCGCCCACGGAACTGCTGGCGGCGTACGGCGTGGTGCAGCCTGAGTACTGGCTGCAGCCAGACGCCCTGCAGCGCTTCAAGCGTGACCTTGCAACCCTGGCCAAGCAGTTTGGCGTGGCACGAAACTACACGCCGCGGGCAGCGGTGCAGGCCCAGGCAGCCGCAGCAGAGGCAGCAGCAGAGGTGCAGGCGCAGGCAGCAGCATCCGCCGCTGCAGCAGAGCAGGAGGCAGCGGCAGCCCAGCAACAACGCTCAACAGATGCAGCACACCTGCTGGAGGCAGTGATGGCTGCAAGCGCAGAGCTGAAAGCTGCTGCTGCTGTGGCGTTGTCGGCCGACACAGCGCCGCAAGACCGGCCAGCAGCACTGCAACGTTATTTAGCAGTGCAGGCTCAGCTTGATGACCTGGAGCTGCAGGCGGCGGCCTCGCGAGCGAGCGCCCCGCGCACCGCCACGGTTGCGTCTGTGCCCGTGCCACCAGCACCTGCAGCACCTACGGCCCCGCAGCCCGTCACCGTGCAGCCGCCTCTTGACGTGCACCTGCTGGAGCTGCAGGCTGACCGCTGGGCAGCCCTGATGCAGACGCGTGCCCCGCAGTACCGAGATTGGCAGCAGCGGCGGCGTACGGCGCAAGCGGCAGGCGAGGAGCTGCCTTGTGCCACTGAGCATCTGTGGCGCTCTCTGGAGGCACAGCATGCCACCCTGGCCGGCATCTCTGAGTACCACAAGCTGGCTGAGCTGCTGCTGTGCCAGCCGACTGGCAGCGTCGACAATGAGCGGCGGTTCAGTAGCATGAACAACATCAAATCGAAACTGCGCAACCGCCTCAAGCCGCCCCACCTCAACGCCTGCCTGCGCATTGCCAGCAGTCCCTTCTCCTATGACACCTTCCCCTTTGCTGCTGCCTTTGATGCTTGGAACCGGGCCGTCAAGCGCCAGGTGTAACAGAGCAGGTAACAGAGCAGGGACAGAAGGGTGGGTTACCGCCGCGCTGACCGCCGCTCCGCTGGCTGTCTGGGGGCGCTCATCGCCACCTGCACCGACCTCATCGCCAGCTGACTGGCGAAATTTGGCCGCACCAGCGGCTCTCATCGCCAGCCCATCGCCACTTCTGCCAGCTGGCCAGAAACACTGAGTAGCCCCAGTAGCCACCAGGGCTGGTAGGCGGCCCTCTGCAGGCTCTTTGATGGATCGTTAGTTTGTGATCACCCCGCAGCTCCGTTTGCCTCTCTGGGGAGCTCCTCCCGCGGCCCGTACCGCGATGCCCCGTTCTCTTGCGGCGGCTGCCAGGCCGCCGCTGCTGGTGCTGATGTGCGCTCAGGCGATGCTCGTCGGGGTGGCAGCTCAGGCATTCGGGGCGAAGGTGACCCTTCCGCAGACCTACCCACTCCGTTTCTTCGTGGTGGGCGACTGGGGGAGAGCAAACGATGAGTGAGTGGCGGCTGCAGAGGAGAGGGAGCGCAAGAGGCCCACTTGTCAGGGGGAAGAAGAAGGCGGGGCTTGGCGCCCCCAGGCGCTGCCGCCAGCGACCGTACCTACCAGCCTCTGCTTGGTAGGCAGCGCAGCAACTAGCCAGTCAGCTTTTGGAGCGTCTGACCGCAAATAGACACTGCTGCCACGCTAGCGAGGCACTGGAGTGGCTGGGCGGCCACTGAAGTTGGCCACCTGTGCCCGCCAAGCCGACAGCCCTCTGCTGACGCTGCGTGCAGGCACCCCAATGGCTACAACCAGACCCGAGTCGCGCAGATGATGGCCAAGAAAGCAAACAGCGCCTACGGCAAGCCGCACTTTGTGCTGAGCACCGGAGACAACTTGTGAGCCGCGGGGCTGGAAGATGCAGGCCCTGGGACATCCTCCCACCACACCGCCGACTGACGCCGCCGCAACCACCGCTGTCACTTTCCGCCTGTCCTCCGTGCAGCTACAGCTTTGGGCTGAGGAACCTGAGCGACCACTGGTTCACGCAGAAGTTCACCAACATCTACAAGGCCCCAGGGCTGCAGGTCCCCTGGTTCGCCACGCTTGGCAGTGAGTGTGTCGCTATGGCAGGCTGTCAGCTACTGTTTGCCGTGTGGGCTGTTCTCTGCCGTGCTCGCCGCTGTGGGCTGGGCAGGGTGCGGCCTGTGAGCTGCAGCAGCCTGATGGGCGATGCTGGGGCTGCCCCATGCGTGTCGCTGAACCCGCAAATGCGC